AGGCAGCTCATTTTGATATTCTCTCAGTGAAAAGAATTTTCTTTTTTTTTTTGCAATTGTCGATCATTAGATTTAATCGTTGGATAGGTAGCTGAGGTGATAGGTTATGTGTCAAAGAAGTTTGTGACGTTCACTTAATGAAGTGAATAGTGTTGAAGTTGAATTGATTCGCTTTGTAATATTATGCCGGTCGCTGTTCACGATTAATCTGTTATGAGTACAAAACGGAGAAAACTTTCGAGAGAAGTCGTAAACTTTTTGGAGCATTGAAACGCAGCTGTATTATATGAGTCGTTACAGAAAAAAAAAACCTCAGCAACAGTCGAACTGAAATTTTGATCGGTAATTGTTTTGGGAGTGCTAGATCCCGCAGGAGAAGGGACTCTTGCCCTGAAAGATGGGTGGGTTTCTGGCCCTGATTCGGTTTAGTGTGCAAGTGTGTTTGTCACTATCAACGTTGTTGTTACTGTTGTCGTTTATTCTGTTTTAGCGCTTTATCTGTTTATTCGTTTTCTTTTTTTGTTGAATAAGAGAAAAGTGTTTTTTAATTAGTTCTCGTCTTTGTTCTGTTTCACTATATTGTTCAATTTCAGTGGTAAATTAAAAGAGTTTATTCGTTGAAACGTTGGCAAAACATTTCTCGAAAAAAACAAACAAAAGTAACAATATTGGAAATTTTAGTTCCGAAAAGTCACATCAAAATCGTTTTGAAAAAGAAAATCAGAAACTGTTGAAAGAATCATTAAGAAAGTTTTTGAAAGAAAGATTTTTGAAAGTTATCGAAAGAAACTTTTGATAGTGAGATTTTTTGGAAATTTTAGTTCCGGAAGGTCATATCAGAATTGTTTTGGAAAAAAGAAATTGTTTAATGAATCGTTAAGAAAGTTTTTGAAAGAAATATCTTTGAAAGTTATCGAAAGAAACTTTTGATAGTAAGATAAAATGCTCTGAAAGAATGCTTCTCACTCTGTGCACCGATCAAATCATCAAATAGAATCATCCAATATTGGGCGTATTAAATCAAAAAATATTACCGACTTGACGAAAACAAATGAAAACGGACTTTAACATATTAGCGAGAAGGATTGTGAATGTTCCTTCCGATCATCGGGAGGAGGTCTTGAACAGGGATGACTCATTTGTTGCGATTTCCATTGTGACATCGTATTGTCTAATTGAAATCCAATAAGATTGCTGCAATTGAAGTGCGATAACTGACTATGAGTAATATTCTTAATGAGGCTTAAAATTTTTGCAGTAACGGTAAAATGCAGCATTTTGAGGTGATTAGTTTGTTGTTTTTATGGATGAAATTTTATCGTTTTGGTTCACGTCCACACACTACAGTGACGAAGTTAATTTCATTCATCTTATCCTAAACTACTATTGATATTTGTGATCATGATGTCTGCAGAGGTGTAGACATCACGTGGTAGCAACTGCAAATTTGGTATTGAAAAGTATTTTTTGTTGAGTAAGCCAGTAGGATGTTTTTGCATGTAATCTCAGGACTGTGACATTCTTACGGTTTAAAAGTGCCCTTTACACGTATCTGCAGAATATATTCACCCGAAAACTCATTAGTCTCGAATCCTTTTCGGTACCACTTTCATTAATCGACATTTTGAGCTCATGGAACTATCGTTCTGATGTTGTTTGAATGCTCTGCATTTCGTGATCGCAGACAGATCAGTTCGCTCTGATTGTAGCGTTTGACGCTCATCAGATCAGTTTCGCATTATGCGCACTGAAGAACTGATTGCGATCTTAACAAAACCACTCGGCAGAGACTGAACAGTCTCCGCAGTAGCTCAGAGGTAGAGCCCAACCGGTAATTGGTGCGTCGCGGGTTTGATTCCCGTTCGCGGAGGAAAGTTTTGCCCGAAACCGAGTGGTGTACCAATATCATTAATGTTGTGAGCCTGGGCCAGGCTATGATCCGGCTTGTGTCTATTATCCATTTTTGACAATAATCAAATCAAGATGACAATAATCAAATGACAATTTAATGACAATATGACTTTTAATGACAATAATAATCAAGATGACGGTGGATGACAATAATGAAATCAAGAACAATAATGCTAACAACCAAAACAGGATAATCGTAGAAGTGATTACCAGATCAATGAGACGATTACATGAAGAGTGTCTGATGAAAATGATTACATGAGGAATATCTGATGAAAATCATTTGAAATTGCGAGAAAAAAAAACGCTTCAAAAGTTCTATTATCTTCACTGGGCAAAACGGAGACAGCACCTTCGAGTTCGCGTCTTGAGATGAAACCGATGTAATTATTGTTCAAAGCAATCAAATGACATAATGCGATAAAACAATTGTTCACTGGCAGTAAATAATAAACGAGAAGAATGCATAAGACATAATCGGATAATAAAATAAAACGATTGGCCGTTCGAAAGAAATGAATATTTACAGATTGGCTGAATTGGTCGGTATGCTTATATGAGGCAAAACCGTTTCACTGATACTATCATGGAACGCTGGCGAGGTAACAATAATAAATTACAAGAACGGACATAGTGAGAATTACATGAAAACTGACAAAATAACATCAATCGAGGAATATTCATAATGATCAGCACAATGTGGAGAACAACGTCTGTTCATGGAAATTAACAGAGCTTCATTATAATACATGATATCCAAACAATAACACATGATCGTCAAACAATGTTCACTGATCAAATCAGCAATCAATACGTTCAATCTGCAGTTTTTATTGATCAACTTAGTCGAGAGCTGCACAAAACACCCCAAAATTTTGTTGTTTCATGATTCCGATTTGATGACCATTAAAAGATATTAAACTAATGACAATAATCAAATCATGAATAATAATGCTAACAACCAAAACAGTTATGACGATGTTAGAAGTGATAATCGGAGCAATTTTAACAATATTATAATAGTGAGATATTGATAATATTGAAGGCTTAATCACTGACTTCGAAGTCGCTATCGAAAGCTTTTTTCTTTCTAGTTGCCTTCTTTTTCGGCATTATATCCGAATCATCCAGGCTATCGTCAAAGTTGAAATTCTTCGCAGCTGTAGCACGCACTGGACGAGATGCCTTCGGTGCCACGACATTGCCTTCATCTTTACTGGAGTGTGGTATTTCTGCTATGTCCGAATCTGACCCTGACGAAGATAGAAAGCCTTTTTTGGATGATTTTTTCGGTAACGCGTGCTGAAAATATCGTTATTATTATCATTATTATTATTATTATTATTATTATTATTATTAT